ATAACTCCCTCGTTTTACATCGGAATTGAGCATATGACCTGTCGTTGGAAAGCTCTTGAGATAAGATTTCACCTCCAATTGGAATCACTCAGAATTGTTTGTAGATCAAAAGATATAAGCAAAGAATTATGAGTTTGTGACAAGGGTTCGAATTTGGTTGGACTCATATACTAGTAGATTTTTTTAACTCCTTCATTTTTTGTTGTATGGCTTGTAGTACTCATTTTTAAGTTTTAACTCCCTCATTCTTATTGTATATGCTACAGGCATCTAGTTAATATTTTTTTAGCCTGGTTTTTGAACTTGTATATTTTTTTAAAAAAAAAAAAAAATACTTTTTAGCTAATGCTTTAGTAGCTTATTTTTTTTGGAAGAAGGTCAAAATTTTATGTGTTATCCAATGAGAAATTAGAAATTATGTTGATGTTCCCATCAAAAAAAAAAAAAAATTATATTGATGTTAAAAATATATATAGATGATATTGACCCCCTTTATGTAAAATTAATGGTTCCGCAACTTCCCTTAATATTATACCCCCAATCCAAGCATGGGGGAATCCCATTAATTATTTTGATAAAGGATTTATGTTTATCTAAGGGTACCATCGTATATTATAGGCAAAATTTGCACTAAAATCGCTATTTATATACGATAAATAGTTAAACCATGTGCACTTATTTACGATGTTGTCACTAGGTAAACAATTGTTGTTTAGCATGAAAATCAACTTGTATTTTCTCGTTACTTTAAAAGCGCAATTTCTTTTGTACTCCTAGTCTCCTAGAGTACGATGCTTTTTGTACTCCAGGTTCTTATTGTTTTATGTTATTTTAAGGTGTGTATTATATTATTTAAAAATGTATTTCATGTTATTTTACTATACAATAATGTTATTATTACATCATTTTCATCATCGTATTTCATATACAGATGTTACTTTAATTATTGCATTATATTATTCAATATGATAAAACTCTATGTTATTCTGTAAGAGACTTTTTGTTACATAAATTATATATTATGTCACCTCTACTACTATTTTGGTTCTATCTCTTTTGTTTTCTCCTACCTCCATTTATTTCACTTTTGTTCTCTGTTTTTATTGAGGTATTTACTGTAAAGTAAGTTTTAAACAAAATAATGAAAGTTTTTAGCAAAATAACACAATGTTTAATCAATATTTTAAAAGGATTTATATTAAATAATAACACAAGATTTTAAGCAAAATAACAAAATAGTTTAGAAAAATAACATAAGGTTCAATCCAAAATAACATAATGTTTGAACAAAATAACAAAATGACTAATATAAAAAAATGAACACAAATGATAAGCAAAATACTCCATAACATTATAGTTTAGCAAAATAATGGAGTATAAGGTTTAATTTAAAATAACACAATAATGTTTAAACAAGATAACAAAGGGATTATTCTTCAAAAAGATAACAAAAGGATTGAGTTCAAAAAAAAAAAAAGAAAAAAAAAGGGGACTAATATAATAAATAACACAAGTTTTAAGCAAAATAACATTAGATTATGATAATAATAGCATAAGGTTAAATTTAAGAGAAAATCAAGTCAATAAGTTTGATTTACATAAATTTGTAATCAAGGGGTAGTATAGTCATTACATTATCAAATTGGGGGTACCTTTGTCTTTTTATCTACTTTTTTCTCCCTATTTTATTAACTTTTTAATTTGAAAAAGGTAGTTGCTTTACATTTTTTGTAAATCACTAGATGTCTCTTGAGGGAAGAGAATTGGAGGGATTAAATTTTAAGATTTTTGATATCTCAAACAATGTAGAGATTTGGAAGGAAAACTCATCATTCTTCCCTCCCCTTCTCTATCTTTCCGTTCCTTCCTTTTCCAATTCCCCTACCCTACCCTCCCCTTCTTTTCCTCCCCCTTTCTTTATCCAAACACACTGCTAGAGGGGTTTTTGGTTCTTGCGGGGTTAACACAATGAAAATTAGAAAGGGAAACAAAGAGAAAGAAAAGGAATGACCTTGATTTTGCCTACTTGTTTGGTTGTTTTGCAAATGGAATGAACTACTCACTGATTTCCTTTGAGATTTTTTGATTCAAAGCACAAAATCTAATTTTGAATTTGTAAAAAGTTGTTAGAATTAAACTTTTTTTAGTTAAAAATTGATTCATAAATAAAAAGTCATACGACATCTAGGAAGCGATTTATATCTAACAAATACATGACAATTGAATTAAATAAAATCCTTTCAGCAAAGCTACAATCATTGTTGCAAATCATACATTCTTCATATCCTCTTTCACATTGTTATGATTTACATCCTTCTTCGACGAGGGGGTTTAGCAATCTGTTGTAGCCGTAAAGAAAATTTCCGTCCGATTCATCTAATTGTATTTGAAAGACTAAACTATTTTTCAATCCCGCACAAATCTTTACCAAACAAAAAAAAAACACAAATCCTCTACTTCAAAAGAGAGAAGAAAAACTCCGTATTTTGAAGGAGAAAATTCCTCCTGAAGAAGAAGAAAAACCCCTTCTTTCGAGGGAGAATCATTCCTCCTAAAAGAGGAACAATTATTATAAACTTAAAGCAAACAAAAACAACGAGAAAAAGCACACAAGAAACAAAAATTAGGGCTTTACATCGGTAAAATCCGATATAAGTCCCTCCAAAATTCAACAATAGAGGCTAGGGTTTTAGAGAGAGGAGAAGGGAGAGAGATTAGGGTTGTATTTTTGTTCAAAATAGTTAAAGTTAAATTATCAGAATTAAACTAGTAAATGAAATAAAATATTATCACATACTATATAAAAATAAATAAATAAATAAACTACCATCTAATATCATATCATATCACTAATAAATAAAGTCGGTCTTGCAGTTAGGCCACGAGACAGCGACACCTGACATTTCAGTTTTTCGCCAAGTGTCTAGCGACGTAGGAGATAAATAGGTATTATTGTGACACATATGATGCTAAGTAAGTTATTTTTGGATAAATTTTATAAGATAAAATTGTTGCATAGAGTTTTATTATCGATAAAATTCTAATATTTGATATATACAAAATTAATCATAACTTTTGGTATATTTCCTATAACTCAATTCTATTTCCATCATCAAATTCGTTTTAAAAAGTTCTTTAAAATAAGATTCATTTATAATATATTTAATCACAAACTTTTATACGTAGCTAGCCAAACCCTGTCACCAACTATTACAAGATCAGAGTTATTTCGTTAGTGCTATAGGGGTTACTTGGTTAGTGTTATAGTGGTTACTCAATCAGTGTTATAGATAGGGGTTACTTAGTCAGTGTTAGAGGTTACTCGATCAGTTAGTATTATAGGGGCCACTCCATCAGTTTTATAAGGATTACTTTGTCCGGCCAGATGGTGTAATTAGCCGCATACAAAATGCATTGTTATTTAATTTATTTTTTTAAAAAATAGATAATAAGTAAAATAAGTTTTAATCAGTAAAAATAATTTTAGTTTGGTAAAAATACTTTCAGTTCAGTGAAATTAGTTTACGTTCAATAAAAATAATTTCAAGTCAATAATAACATAGATATCTATTTACAAACAAAACTATACAAAGTACACTCCATATGATATCGTATGTCTAAATATCCTACATTATCAGAATGAATTATTTGACCGTATTTAACATTTCAAGTAAAAATGTTATCTTAAAATTTTATCAACCATTTGGGCATCGCCCGGGCACAAAACTAGTCACTAATAAACAAAGCCGGTGTCGCAGCTACGCCACGAGACAGCGACACTTGACATTCTTGTTTTTCGCCAAGTGTCGCGCCACGTAGGCGGCAAAGAGGTATTATTGTAACACATGATGTAAAGTAAGAGAATTTTGGATAGATTTTTTAAGATAAATTGTTGTATAGAGTTTTATTATCGATATACTTCTAATATTTCATATATACAACATTAATCATAACTTTTTATAAATACCTGTAACTTAATTCTATTTTTATTATAAAATTCGTTTTAAAAAGTTCTTTAAAATAAGACCCATTTATAATATACTTAATTCATTTATATAATTAATATAGAATAAGTAAAAATAAGTTTTATTAAGTAAAAATAAGTTTTATTATGTAAAAATAAGTTTTAATCAGAAAAAAATACTTTCAGTTCAGTTAAATAATTTAAGTTCAATAAAAATAATTTCAAGTCAATAATAACATTAATATCTATTTACAAACAAAACTACAAAAGTACGTTATTATATAAATAAGCGATATGATATCGTATGTCTAAATTTCCTGCATTATCAAAAGGGATTATATGACCGTATTTAACATTCAAGCCAAAAAGTTTTATCATAAAATTTTATCAACCATTTGGGCATCGGCCGGGCAAAAAACTAGTATATATATATAAAGGGGAGTTTTTTCCCAAGTTTTTAGAGAGCCACGTAAGATTTTAATTTTATAAAAATTATTAGAGCACCATGTAGGATTAGTATTTTTAGAGTGTGACGTGTAGGATTATGCCACGTAGGATTATTATTTTAAAGAGCCGCGTAGGATTAAAATTAAAAGTTTAAAGCTCTCTAAAAATTTGGAAAAAAACTCCCCTTTATATATATATATTAGATTTTCGTTCAAGAGTTGGTTTGTATTGTTGTTTAAACAAAAAATTTACAAAATATACATTGTATATATATATGTGTGAACTTTAGTTGTATAAAATTAAAAAAAAAATAGTAATATTATGTATTAAATTTTTTTTATTACGATTGCATATTAAATGTTAAATTTAACTATTAATAAAGACTCGTGTATCACACGGGCTTAAATCTAGTATTAAATAAACTAAACCACATATAAGAATTAATGTAGCAAATTTAAGTAGAATTATCACTACAATTTGATAAATGCAATGACTATACTACCCCTTGATTTACAAATTTATGTAATTCAGACAAATCGACTTGATTTTTTTTCCTTCCTCTTTTTTTTTTTTTTTTTTTTTGGATTTTCCATTTGGTATCATTGTAGTTTAGGCTTTTCCATTTAATACCCAATTTTTTATTTGTATTCTAAATGGTACCACTATACTTTCAATTTATTCTCTATCATAGCATTCCGTCAAATAAATTATGTAATCTTTGATTTGGGTGTTTAAGGTCGAAAACAGCAAAAAAAGCTTAAAAATGTCACGATTTATGTGCAAAAAAAAAAGTCTCGTCTTGTATATTTCGATTTGTTTAGCAAAAAAAAAAGTCCGGTTAAAGTGTTGGGCTCATTATGATCTTAAAGGATAAAATTTTGCAGTCGAAATTAGAAAAATAAGGATCACAGTCGCACAAAACTAATGTTTTATTTAACAGATGCTATAATAAAGAATAAGTCAAAATTACAATGGTACCATATGGAATAAAAATAAAAATTGGGTAATAAATGAAAAAACCAAAACTACAATGATACATTAATACCAAATAAAAAATCCCATTTTTTTTAAAAAAAACCTCATTTGTTTGTTTTAAAAAGAAACGGATTTTAAATTATGGAACGAAAGGTTCAATTAATCAAATCAAAGATCCACCAAAATTTAAAAACTTAAAAACTCCGGGAGAAAGAATTTATACAAAATACACGCAGAGTTAATATACGGAGTAAGTCCAGTAAGATACTCCACCCTCCGTTTTCCTTCCCTTCCTTTCCCTCCATCTCCTTCAATCTAAACACAATCCCAAAAAAAAAAAAAAAAAAAAAAACAAACCCCACACACACAATCCAAACACACTGTAAAGTGTAAATCGACATTTAACAGAGTTCTTCAATGGAATCCCTCAGTATTAATTACTGGCTGAAGCCAAACCCCAATTCCCAGTTCAACAATCGAATTTACTTAGATAAAGATAAGACGAAGATTAAAACGGGAACCCAAGTAATTTCTGCTTTATCTTATCAAAAATTTGTAGACTTTGCTGTTGAAGAAACTAAGCGTCGTACCCATCTCAAGTCTTCTCCTTTACAGGTTATTTCTTGCTTCCTCTTTGATTTTTTTTAATAATTTATTTTCTGGGTTTTAGTTGATATTTAACAATTTTAATGGTATGTCAATTGTACAGTATGTTGATCATAAACTAATCTTTTATGTTTTTGAATTTCCCATGTATTAAAAAATTATTAGGAGTTACTGAAGATTTAATCATTAAAGAAGATTTTATATGTTGTGAAGTTATTGCCTGTGATTCATCTTTTGTTTTTTTTTTTTATATGATTCATTTGAAGTTGGTGTTTTGGATTGCAGAGAAATTGGTTGGTTGTTTGTGGTTTGGAGGAAAACATTTTGAGTTGGATATTGTTTTTGATGGAAAGCATATAATAAATATCGTGTTCCTTTGTTTGGTTCCATGATGGAATAGTTATGAAGAATAAGGGGTTATGGAGGGGATTGGGTGGTAATGGAGAAGAAGAGGAAGTTGAGGAATAGGGTCATAGGGAGTAAAATATGGCATTCCTTTATTAAGATTACTAAAGGTAGGATTTGGGAACAATGATGTAGAGAAAACTAAGTCTTAGAGCAACTCCAATGGTTGTAGCTAGGGACTTGCTTGCAATATTAAATAATCTCTAACTACTAGCCTGACCATTGGAGTTAGAAAATGCAATTAGATTCGTCAAGCAAATTAGCTTGGCAAATTTTTGCTAAAATAAAACAAATTAGAATAAATGAAATAAAATTTTAAAACGTTAATTAAGGAGGTGTGGTTCATTTAAATAGTAATCTAATAGCTAGCCATTGGAGCTCAAATGATAATTAGCTTAAAAGCTTATGTGGCATGACAAGCTAATTTGACAATTAGCTTGCCATTGGAGTTGCTATTAGGTATGCGAAATTGATAGATGGCTTTAGGAAGGCAATCAATGAAACTTATCAGCAAAACCTTTTTTTGGAAGGTTTTGATGTTTTGTTTCTAATTGTACCATCTTTTGTGGAGTGACTGCAATATTCATTATCTCTTTTGTTTAGAGGCTATATGGATGAGGGGGCGGGGGAGAAGGGCTTGACTATCATGCCATTTTGGAAATGGGAGTTTGGTTGTTGGATATTTAAGTCTGATATAGTTTGTGTTTTTAATGGGAGGTGGTTTGTGTCTTTGTGATACTTGTTTATTGGTCAGTTGCTATTAAATAAATTGGATTTTTTTTTTTTTTGGGTAATATCTCACTGTAGTCTTGTTGATGGTTGTTTTGTTGATGATTAGTCTATATCACGTTAAGGTAGTTATATCTACCTCTTATGCTTCTAGGCCAAGCATTAAACCATATAACTCTACATCATGGTTCATTAGGGAGCGAAATCCAAACTAGTTTGTCCAGTGTGCATCTTTTGTCATGCATGTGCTGATTGTGTAGGATTATTTTTGTCTTTTATAGATTTCATCATCATCTTGTTGTAATAGACTTTCTGCATCTCAATTATTTGTTTGTTAATTCCTTTTTTTTTTTTTTTTTTTTTTTTTTAAATTATCCAAACTATTGTTTGAGCGTCAACAGAAAATTTTTAGCCATATTGAAGCTATAGATGGAAAGGCCAACCTCAAGTTTCAATTTTTTGAAGATTCTAAAATTAGATTACTTCGCAGTATGCACATTGACGGGGGTGATTCGCTGCAGGTATTTCTTTCTTTCTTTTTTTGCCCCCCTAATACATACATTTTTATGGGTGTAAGGAAAAACTAATAAATGCTCATAGATAAATAATTGGCCATACGCAAGAGTTAGTCTGTTGTGTAGCTCTTCTGAAAATCTTTATAAAAACGTGTGAATATGCTAATTCTACATACATTGAAATGTATATGACACACATACCAGTTTAGTAGGTGCACCTGTTGCTTCGAAGATGTCATTGTCTTTTGATTTCACCAGCATTCATTGCCTTAGAAGTTAAAACGAACGCATTGTATGCAGATTTTACCAGATACCAATTTAATAGGTAAGCCTTTTTAAGAAGACGTTGATGTCAATTGAATCACCAATATCTAATGCCCTTAAAAGAGCACTCTGTATGTCGATCTTGGATTTGTTTAATGATGATGACTCTACATTAATCATCTCAAAATAAGATGACAAATTGACTAAGTTTGACTTTCATATAGCTCTTTGGCTGTATTGTAGAAAAGTCAGATCATGTATCATTTGTTTGTGAACAAAGTATCTTTGGAAGGCAAATGTTTCTCCAACAAGATCCTGGCCAAGGAGCTATCAAGTTAACATCATCTATCTTTTGTTTGAGAAGAAAAATTCATCTGGAAGGATATTGTTTCTTAAACAAGATAACGGTACAGTAGGAAGTAGGCTCTATTTTGTTAGTCTGGGGCCTCTGGGCCATATATAGGTGCAAAATCCATGTGATTGAAGTCTTACTTAGATATTCTGGATAGGAGCAAGCAAGGCTGCGGACAGTAGGTTTACATCATGGTTTACTGTTTATTGAGCACCTTGTCCTGAAATTTTGACAGATATTCTGAAAATATTAAGTTCTCTAGCAGTCCAGAAGGTTCAATGCAGGTGTTAATGTGTTCTGTGTAAAAGTTTTTAGGTATTAGCCTGTAATTTTATTATTTCATGCATATTGCAGTTTTTAGCTACAAGGGTTCATAATCTCATGCATTATAATGGGGTCAAAAAACTTTGTATTGAAGAATTAGTTGTGTGGATTAGCCATAGAGGAATTAGATTGGAATGGAGGAATCTGTGGTTAAAGATGTTCTCTACATTGTGATGGACTTGTAATGGCAGGGCATGAGTGTTTTGATTTTGGTACATTTTCATTTTTAATTTGTAAAGAAGCATGCTCATCTTTTGATGCCAAGAAAGGAATGTCTCCAAACAGTAGATACTTGAGATTTTATGCTACATAGGGGTATATTGTTAAACAGCTGAGCCAGATACATAAGATTGTAAGCTACATTGGGGTGTAATATGGTTAGCTACTCTTATTGCCTCAAAACATAGATAGATTCACCAAATGATAGTTTAGTTGCTAACTCATTACCCTGCCCTAGTTATGAAACTACTCATAATCATCATAGAAATCATGGGACAATTGTACTCGTGATTGCATCATAAGCATGATCAAAACTTTAAATTTACCAATCAAGCTAGTAATTTAAACATAAATTTCTAAGACAAATGAACAATTGCGCTGTATTATTGCTATCAAATTGGGAAAATCAATTTAATGGCTAAAATCTAAATCAAGGATGGCCTTGAGGAAAGAAAAAGTTCGCTGAATTGAGCTTGAATATTGAAGAATTTGAACTCATGATGAACTTTCTCTCGCTACCAATGAAGTTATTTCTCTTTAAAATCTAAGGATCGCCAACTAATCTCTCTCTAATTTTTTTCACTCAAAAAATCTGATTCATAATCTAAGAATGAATTAATCATTTTAATTACATATTAATAAGTTAAAATATGACATCAAGATGTTGATCTCCGGACTTGCCACGGTCGCATTTGTGGTTACACCGAGCTTATCTCTTGGTATAATGATCTGGGAACAAAGGGCATTGTAGGCATGCTCTCAAGATACCACCAGCACACTCTCAACAAGCCATTGGCATGTCCGTGTGAATCCTGCAGGTGCCACGTAGATGTTATCCAACATCTGACTTTTCTATTTCACACCTGCGGGCAGGGTACAGGTGTAGAGCGCAGGTGTTTTTTTATTTATTTCCGTCAAACTCTTTTGATCTTTTTCTGTTCGCTTATAAGCAACATAGTTATATCTATATAGCACATATTGTGAAAGCATAGACTAGGAGCAAATATGATTAAATGACACATTAAAAGCCAAAAAAGGAGTTGAAACGAGCGTTTACAACATTCGACACATATTAGCAAGAAAGGAGTGAAAAGACACTAAAAGCTAAGTAAAAGGTAAACAATTACCTAAATCACATAGTGGTCAATAACTATTGTGGCTAGCCAGTAATAACCATCTTTATTGCTGTTACACCCTGATACTAATTTATGAAGTTAATGTTATGCTGTGGTAGGCAGCTGCGGGAACTTATCTTTTCAGGCTAGGGCACAGCTGATAAATTATGTGTTGCTTATATACTGGGTTCATGTGTATGTTCTGCCTAGGAGTGCTTGACAACAACAGCAGCAGCAAAGCCTTAGTCCCAAAATGATTTGGGGTCGGCTAATATGAATCGTTATAAGGAACCTTCCGATATAGAAAAAGGGACATAGCAAGATAATCAGCTGAAAGAATTTTAAAATGGTGTGTAAATTTTGCAGAGCTTCCTTATGGAGTGGGGAGTATTATAGCAGGAAGGCAGGGCATGTAGCTTGAAATAACGTTTGTTGTCCTAAATTATATGGAAGCCTTGGGTATCGAGAACCTTGACTTATGGAATGCTCCATCAATAGGTATACATGTGCAATCACAAATAAGCAGGATAACCTGTGTATATTATGGATCATAATTGGTGGAATTACCAACCTACTATGGATAGTTGTTGGAATTGGAATAAAATTTGTGAAGTGAAAAATATTGGAAGTACTATGCTGTGGTAGTGAGTTGAAAAAAAAAATGTACCAGAATTGTCTAGCCATGCTTAAAGAATAATATTCAGAGAAGAAAATGTACCAGAATTTGGAAGTGAATGGTCTCAATATACCTTGGACAAGGAAAGTATGGAATGGATTGTTTGTTCCTTAACACAAGTTCATAAATTGGCTGGCCATGCTTAAGAGATTGCAACCAGGGAGTGATTAGTGAAGATACCATATGTTGGAAAGCTGTGGAATCTCATAAACACTTGTTATTATCATGTAAATATGGCAACTATTGCATGGAAGAGATAAGAATTGGTTGGGGATCAGATGCAGAACAAGGGATATATTACAGGGATGCTCAATTGGATCAATAGAAGATCAAGGGATCAAAGTTCTAAAAGGACGTAAATACAGCAGCAACTGACGTTGTGGTTTACATAGTATGGAAGATCAGAAATGATTCCTTATGGAATCATAAAAGTTTGACAATTAATCACTCTGCACAAAGAGTTAAAGACACACTTAGAGTGATAATAGTGATAAACGGTGGATTTTTCATTTTTGTCTTCGTAAATGATATTTGTCGATAATAGCTTGATCATTAATGTTTGGTCTGTCTTCTGATGGATCCAACCTAGTTTATTTTCTTATTGATTTTAGATCTTAGTTTATATCCCTTTTGAATTTCAATAGTATTCTTGCTCTTAGCAACAAAAAAAGGAAAAAAAATTTACACTAAATAATTGACTTTATTTCTTAACAACTTTCTACAATGCACATCCACTGTCCATGTATTATCTATCTCAGCAAATTTTTGCAATTTCCGCCTTTCTTTTCTGTTTTACCATCACAATGTTATATGCAGGTGTTGGACTTTGGCATCTTCCCAAAAGCTGCTTTTGACTTGCCTATATTTTGTGCCAACTTTTTCAGCAGCTCATCGATGAACATTATTGTATTGTAAGTTGTACCCATTCCAATGTTGCTTCACTTGTGTGTGTGTTCGTGTATTTGTGGTGCTCTGCTGATGTATGTTCTCTTGCTTCTTTGTTTTCTTTTTAACACCTTTATATCACACTTTTATGTTTATCCCTTTCCTTTTATACGGTTGCATCAGGGATCTCAATCCATTGCATGATGTCATTACTAATAGAGAATACAAAGAGAAGTATTACAAAAGTTTAATGCCTCTCAGCGTTAAGTATGCTGAAGTAAGTTTGTACTTCTTCTACATTCCTGGATCAAGTCTTGATGCTATCATCTCCTAACCCATATTAAAATTTCACTGATTTTAATTCAGATTATATGCAGCTTTTGCCATGGGGAGGAAAACTTACAGGTGAATCTTTGAGGTTTTTCTCACCAATAGTTATATGGACAAGATTTACTTCAAGCCAAGAGAAGCATGATATTCTATTTGACGCATTCAGTGACTATTACAAGGTGAATATCAACTTCTAGACTTGACTCATTGACTCAAATGCTCTGATATCTTGCATGAAATAACAGCAGAGGCAATTAATCATATTTGTTGATTTGTTAGCTGGTGATGTTTTGATGTTGGAAAGTGAAATCATAGACCATAACTTCATAATCAATAGTTTACAACTTCACATTATATAATGCGTGGCTTTTAGTGAAATTAACAATCCACAAGACCACAAGTTGGAACCATGATCGTATATTTAGCAGATTCTTGGGACTGTCATTGCTTTCTTTGGTCTTGGTGTCTTGCTGGTGACTATCAGTTCATGTCTTTGTGTAGTCTTTTTTCATTCAACCTTCAAACTTAGTTGTCCCGAGAAGATTGCCCTAAACCCAAATATTACTTTTTTAAGATTCAAAACAAATTTATGCACATGGGTGGGCGCAATTGTTGATGAGAGAAAGACAGAGAGAGAGAGAGAGAGAGAGAGCAAGTGAGGTTGCAAAAGGAAAAATAATACTAAATAAGTTATGGGGCAATCTATTGACTGGATTATGGAGATCTTGTCATATTGCGGAAATAATAGTAAAAAATTGTTTCGAGGAAGAAGTAGAAGGTGTAGATTGGTTTTTGTATCCTAAATTAATGATTCTACTCAGTAGGACACAGGACACCATTAACAAATCCCTAAAATATGTTGTTATCTGTGTAGACATGGCTTGACTTGATGGAACATGCAGTGGAGGAGACTGCTGCTGACCAAATTATGCTCAACAGTGAAGCACAACATAAATACCTTACCTGGAGAGCAGAGAAGGTAAAAACATCTTCCCCTTTTCTTTTTCCACCAGTATCATTTATTAAGCTTTTGCAAAATGACTTGATTGTTCCTCAATATGTTGTTTGTGAATTATACTTCGTAAATAGTATACACTGAAATACGTTTGGTTGGGGATGGTTTACAGAGAGAAATACTTCTAGTGGGCTAAGAAAAGTTTTTGCCAAGGTGGAGAGTTTTTGTTCTCATCTGAGGAATGAATGCCACACTTTCTATGGCTGAACATCTATGTTTTATTGTGATAATGTTTTCCATAATATCTGATTCCACGATTCCCACCATCCTCAGTTTATAACATAATAAGCCTGACACTATCGTAACATTTGCAATAGGATCCGGGGCATCCAATGCTGAGGAGATTGCTTGGGGAAAAAAGAGCAAGAGTACTTTTCTTGAACTGATGAGCTATCTTCTAGCTATATTCATTTGTAATATGGGTGTAATCTAAACTAAGACTTTTTTTTTAATGAACTTCTATATCACAGAATTTGCTGAGGAGCTTTTTATTTAATGGAGTTGATGAACTAGGCAGTAAAACATTTCTGGACTACTTCCCAGAATACAAGCTTGACGATGGAACCTTAAATGAGAAGCGCAGTATCATGGGGAAGTCTTTTGAGAATCGGCCATGGGATAGTAGAGGGGAACTCATTGATAACTGTTAAGCTTAATTTAATATTTGGGCTCAAAAGGTTGGTTCGTCGAAGTTTATGAGCAGTCTCGCGGTGTTGCAACAATTGCAAGTGAGAAGCTGAATTTGAGTTTACTATTGGCAACCTGGTTCTGAACGTGATCTGCTGATCCATGTTCTTAGCATTGAAGTCTTATACTACGTATATAATGTGAAATCAATATATTCGCTTAATGCTCATGATTTTTTTCCCTGTTGGTTTCTCTTTAGATCAAAGCCTCTCTTAAGATACTTTTTGTTCTTGTAATACAGGTAGATTAAGTGTTAATTTGTCTGTTAGGTGTCTTAGGACATTATGTTAGTGATAGAGCGGAAGGATGTTTAAAGAAATTTCATTTTTCAATTACAAAAGAGCTGAATTATGAAAAAGCTTTTCATCTCTTTGCTTGATACAATGTGTTTTGAATCTTTTGGTTATAGTTTGATTGAATCTTGATTGCATTTTTGTGTACTCTATTATACGGAAAATACTACAACATATTGTAAGATGTTTTTGAAGAGAGCAAAAAATTGTACAATTACTTATATTCATTAGTTTGCTATTTACAACTAAGTGCAGCGAGTATTAGCTACTACTTCGGGACGTTTTACCAAATTGAGCTTTAAACGGAAACTATTGACAAAAATGGTTGCGTGGCAAAACTATTTACCAAACTAAGCTTCCAGGGTAAATCGCTGTCTCGGACAGCGTTTTACCCCTGGTTTTTTTTTTTAAAAAAATTCAACTGGTAAACGCTGTCCCAGACAGCGTTTTACCTTCTGTATTTTTTTAAATTCAGTAGGGCATAAAACGCTGTCTCGGACAGCGTTTTATCCTTGGGTTTTTTTTTAAAAAAAATTCAATGGGTAAAACGCTGTCCGAGACAGCGTTTTATTCCCTGTTTTTTTTTTTAAATGAAACGCTGTCCGGGACAGCGTTTCATGGCCATATATCAGCATGTTCACTTCAGCAGAATGCGCAAGAACTCAACCTCAACCTCAACGCTTTCCCTCCTCCCTCTCACACTAAACCACGACCGTACTCAAACACCCGCATTGCCGCCCACCCTTGCGCCACCGCTGCTGCCGCCACCTTGCTGCTGCCCTCCTCCCTCTCACACTCACTCACTCAATTTCGTGGTTAGCCCTAAACTGAATTTAGTGTAATTGCATAGTTATTGTGGTTAATTATTGTGAATTCTATGTAATTGCTCTTACTTGTTGTTAATTCATGTCAATTGCATGTAATTGTTGCTAATTATTAATGAAAATGTGGTACATTGTTGATAATTATTGATGGTGATGTGGTACATTGTTATTGAAATTGTTCATGACATTGGTGAAGTTGATGATGGTGAAAATGTTGAAGTTGTTAATGGTTGAAATTGGTGAGAAGAGATGAAATTGTTGAAATTATTGAAATAGTTTAGGTTGAAATTGTTGAAATAATTCAAATTGTTCATGAAATTGTTGAAATTGGTGAAGTTGTTGAAAGTGAAGTTGTTATAGGTGAGAAGAATCTTATTTCAGTGTTGATAATTTACCTCGCTCTAGATTTCGATAATCCTAAAATGTGTTTTGGTTATGTAGAATATGGCGTCACAAAATGTAGTTTTGTTATGCCGGTGGGGAGGAGAAATTCTGTTTGATGGACCCCGGGTCGAGTATAGTGGGGGAAATATGGAACCACTAACACTAGAACCGAACATGACTATGAATGATTTGATGAATGAGGTTCATAGTAGTATTGGTTCAGACCCGATGACCGTTGACGTACACATTAAAATGAGGTTTGAGACCGGAAATGGGGTTCAAGTGTTACCGGTTTCTACGAATAAGCATGTGACAGCTCTAAGGAACGTTGTTGCAATGAAGGGTGTTCCCACTGAAATATATGTGGAAACGGTGCCTATATGTACCCAACAAAGTACTCGGCCAGAACAATTGCATAGTTATTCGCCTACGCAAGATGATGGTCAGGCTTCACCGTCTCAGCATGCGCCGAATCATCTTGAAGATATTGTGAATAACGAACTTTCTGTGTATGATGTGTACACAAATGATGAGGCCGATAGCGGAGAGGAGGAAGATGGACTTCAGAACATGGATGTAGAACCTGCTCGGATGGAAGTGGGCGAGCCCCTGGTTAGAACTCCCATTCCTTGGTTCAGTCAGGTGAACGAGAACTACGAAGTTGATCAGGATTGGGCCGAATCGGGTAGTCATACGTCGTTTGTTCCGGGGGGGAATTTGAGAAGGGGATGTGGTTCGAAAGTAAGAAAGTGCTCCAAGAAATGGTGAAGATGTATTCCATACAGAGGAATCAGTTCTACACCACAATTACATCGAATGAGAGTGTGCTTCATTTGCGGTGCAAGAAAAAATGTGGTTGGATGCTACGGGGTACCAAATCTAGTAAGCACTCGCGTGGCTTCGCCCTAGTCACATACAAAGGCCCGCACCGGGAGAACTGTGTCACGGAAGTATTGTCCACTGATCACCCGCATTTGGATTCGTCGTTAATATCAGATTTTGTGAAGTCCTTTGTTCGGAAAGATCCGTCTTTGAAAGTTGAATTCATACAAGAACTCATCTCCAAGCAATTTCATTTCGATGTCCCGTACCGGAGGGCATGGTATGCAAAGGGGAAAGCAATAGCTGATATTTACGGTGATTGGGAGAGTTCTTATGGCAGACTTCCGCACTTCATGCAAGCCCTCCAACAGTCAAATCCGGGAACGTGTGTTGTGTGGAAGTACAAAGCGTTGGTTGACGGTGTTTACTACAGCAACATGGAAGTGTTTGAAAGAGTGTTTTGGGCGTTTGGCCCTTGTATCGACGGTTTTAAACATTGTATGTCAGTTATCTGTATCGATGGGACGCACTTGTACGGGAAGTACAAAGGAACACTGTTGGTTGCTACAAGTGTTGATGCAAACTTCCAAGTATTTCCTCTAGCATTTGCGTTGGTTGAGGGGGAAAACACCTCCAGCTGGTCTTGGTTCCTGGGTTGCATTCGGGTTCATGTCACTCAACGAGATGGCCTTTGTGTTATATCTGACCGACATCCTGGGATCATTGCAGCAATGACTGATCCGAACGTTGGATTTACCGAGCCGCGAGCCTATCACAGATTTTGTGTTCGCCACATAGCTTCTAACTTGAAGACTCACGTGCGACGAAACGACATGAGAGATATGTTCAAGGCTACGGCGTACCAAAGGCAGGAAAGAAAACTACACGGCGATCTGTGTTTCATTAGTGAGGCGTGTAACAAGGCAATGGAGTACATTGTTCAAATTCCGTTCACCATGTGGTCCCTCTTTCACGACGCTGGACGTAGATACGGGATTTGCACTACTAACTTCTCTGAGACATTCAACAACGTGTTGAAGGGAGCACGGTTTCTACCGATCATGTCCCTAGTCGAGTTAACTTTTCATAGAGTTAACAAATATTTCACTTTGAGAAGGGAGTCTTCTGAGGCAAGATTTGAACAGGGACTTGCATACCCCCCCAAGGTCACTGCCATTCTAGAGAAGAACACCGCAAAAGCCAGATATCACAGAGTGGATGCGTATAACCGTCGATTGCATATTTACCAAGTTACAACAGAAAGGGGAGACCGACTTGGTAGTAAAGGAGGCCATAAACATACTGTTAACTTTCAGTTAAGAACGTGTACCTGCAACAAACCTACGATATTTCACCTCCCATGTTCTCACGTTCTAGCCGTATGTGCAACGTACTCACTATCAGAGCGGCCGTGGGTTGACCCGGTGCTGCAATCGGAGGCATACACGAGCACATACGCGCCGCAATTCTGGCCAATCCCTTGCGAGACAACCTGGACGCCCTATAACGGTCCCAGAATCATTCCCGACGGGAGCATGTTGCGTGGAATAGGGCGACCAAGGTCAAAGCGCATACGTAATGAAATGGATGAGACTAACCGGCCCGCGAGCAAATGTAGTCGTTGTCACGTTCAGGGCCATAACCGGGCAACGTGTCCATCGAGACCCTCAGAGGACCCATGACTGTTAACTGAAATTCGTTGTAATCGTAGATGGAGGAATTATTTTGTAATAGAAAATTTTGATTTAATAACATTTGGAACATTTTGATTTAATAACATTTGGAACATTTGATCGTTAACATTTTGGTTAATTGCTAATGCGTTAACTCTGTTGGGATTTGTTAAATTGCATGTGAATAGATACGATGGACGGTAGGGCTGTGGAGCTGGCTGTTGTGGTGGCTGTTGGAGGACTGCAGCATGCAAGCTGTTTGCTGAAGCTTGTTTTCTGTCTGGATGCTGGTTGCTGTTTCCAGCAGAAAAGCGCTGTCTGAGACAGCGCTTTATGTTCAAGCATAACGCGCTGTCTGAGACAGCGTTTTATGTTCAAGCATAAAGCGCTGTCTGAGACAGCGCTTTATGTTGAACATATAAAATAGTTGTAGTTGAATTTTTTTTTAAAAAAAACCCAAGGATAAAACGCTGTCCGAGACAGCGTTTTATGCCCTACTGAATTTAAAAAAATACAGAAGGTAAAACGCTGTCCGAGACAGCGATTTACCCTGGAAGCTTAGTTTGGTAAATAGTTTTACCACGCTACCATTTTTGTCAATAGTTTCCGTTTAAAGCTCAATTTGGTAAAACGTTCACTACTTCGTATTATGTAACATTGACAATTTTTTTTTCTTTTTTTTTAAATTATTTTTTTATTTTTTAAATACAATTTGTTTATTTAATTGTACTCCACAAATCTTACTTTGGCTATATTTTTGCTACTAAAATATAAAATAATTTTGGTGTAACTAAATTTCCCTTTGCGGGGAAGGGAGAAGGCTGTTTTGTAGTGTCTGATTAGGGCAAAATTGTTGTACTGCATAAATTACTGTGGCATAAACATATAAGCTTCATATGATACCCTAGGCTTTCCTAAAGTTATTTGTTGGAGACATACACCTTGTTCTCTTGATGTACTTTTACGATTGTTTGTCATTAATTCATTGTAATATTAAAATAAAATTAAAAAAATCAATCACTCGAAAATAATCTTTGCAGATATACCTATTTATGTGAACATTACAGTTTGTGTAAACTCATGATTTACATTGCTTTTACAGGTTATAATTTATAAAACACCCAACTTTAACTTTCTTTGAAATGTGATTCTAGAATAGATGTTTCTTACAAAACCATATGAACCACTAATTAAACTTTCCCCTGCAAAATTTTCGCTCCTGCAAGCTACATCAACTTTCCAGCCGAACACGAAACGATGATTTACAGTACTTTCTCAGGTATTAATGTACAGCAGCTATATAGCTGAATGATATTATGCAACAGCAACAGCAGAAACTCCAAAAAATTGTGACACCTATTCATGTAATTCATCTCCCTACCGCTTCTCTGACAAGGGGAAATCGATCAGCCCACCGGGAATAACCTGTGAT